CGTGTTATTAGCTTAAATGTATCAACTTTGAAGCTTTTAGGTGATATCTTTTACATTGCAAGCAGTTGTTCTTATGTTTGTTTTTTTAGCCACTTGAAATTACCCACTGTATGAATGTGGTAAAAATAATAAATGTGCCTTAACTTTTCTTATAAGCAGCTAAAAAATTCAATTTACCTCCTTACCGATGTTCCCACTTTCTTTGAAGTCAGATCAGCAAATATAAAAGGCTCAACAGAGCCCTAAAAAAGTATATATAACTGGAGATGATTCATAATACCCTACATTAAGGTTGTTGGTTACAATCCATCACAAAGTAATAGACCAAATATAAATCTTACAGTAATTGAGATGAATCTCTCATTTCAACGACAAGCCCTGTTTTTAAGACCCAATTACTAAAGAGTTCTCTGGCGCAGTTTAAGAACGAATTTCCACCACCGACACTAGAGGAGATGCTGGTCATTACATGCTGAGTGGAGAGTGAGAAAGAGGATAGGATGGACGGATGGACATGGTCCAAAACGGGATGGATGTCTTCCCGGGCCGTGCTGCGTCGAGGGCAGTAAGATTTATGATATACCCACACAATCTTAATTTGTGCTCAGCCCGATAATGCATCTCAAGGCCAGAACAGTTCTGCTCAGTGTTTCTTAACTGGATGTTTCTTTAATTATATGTCAGAGGCCGTAAAACTCGGAGAGGAAATTTCCTCACAAAGCACCGTTTTATGTCTCGGTCATTACTGTAAATTACAAGTAACAAGAAAAACTAGAAGGCTAATGGATGGAAAATGCTAAAAGAAAAGCGGATTTATTCATATCCGTATTCCGTCTCTTCACCCAGTTGGTACACGGGTCATCAGAAGGACACAAACCTTCATGTGCTGATCAGGTGAAAAGATAGCTCATCCAAGCAGGTACATATGGGAACAGAAACCAACCTGTACAAATAACACATACATGGATCATACAAGAGCTGTTTAAAACATATACATATTCACAAAACTGTGATTATATATTGCTTTCCTCTACCTCACGCCAACAAAATCAGTCTTCTCCTAGATCTCAGTGTGCACACTTCCAAATGTTTTTTTTAGACAAAAATAATTACAAGTTACAGCGCCTTGCAAATATTTTATACCGCCATCCATTATTTATTGAGTTTCTGTGATACTGCCTGACCAAGTACATTTCAGAACATATATATTTTTCTATACAAATTATACTCTGAAAGCTGTGGCACACATTGTTATTATCTTTAACTCATTATTGTAATACTCAGATTTAATTTTATTTAATACTTAGTGTTGGTCTAAAATACAGTAAAGTTAGTTGTAATGAAATTGAAAAGTTTAAGGGGTACAACTACTTTTGCAAGGCACTGTAAGCTTGGAAAAAACACAAACAGGAATTTCAAACCTCTACATGAAAACATTTGTTAGCACTAGGCATAGCTGCTCCCCGTCTGCAGCCCTTAGTGCACCACAAGGTGGCTTTAGAATACCCCTTTTCTGTCATAATGCCTTTTCCATACACTATTTTTAAGAGGGGGTGGAGATGGCATTGTCTAAGCTCCCCTGATGCAACACTGTTTTCCTGTATGGTTCTCAAACATTGGTTAAAAATGTCTTAAAAACAGGGGCTTAAAAATAAAAAGTTTCCTCTATGCTTCCCCTCTTTTTGTTCTTTTCCTTGGCACGCACACTCACTCTTAGAAATGCATAATAAGTCAGTGCATCGTTTTCCTATTAATCCAAAGCCACCTAGGTGGCATCGGGTCCGTCTCTGCAGGCAGAGAAGGCTAGGCTGCGGCTCGACTCAGCTCAGCTCGAACCCTGCGCTCGACTCGATGGCGTATAGCAGCTTGCTCCTCATCAGGTGCTGGTCGCAGAACTCGGGGAGCTTGAGCAGGTTCATGCAGGTGCTGGCTGTAGGCAAGCGCTCCAGGTCATTTCCACCGTTGTGAATGCAGAAGGCTGGATAAAGCTCCTGAAGACAAACAGAAAATGGGGGAAAAAAAGTGTAAATAATGTCTCAATGACGCATCATCTCAAAGTTTTATATTATTACGTTTTTAAACAAGTAAAAATGGAGACATGATTCACTGAAATAAAACAAGTTTTATTTAATTCAAACAATTGTTCTGATTGTTATTTCAGCAGGGTGAGTGGGCGGAGGCTGCAATTTGTTCCTGATCAGTGGGGAGCAAACGTTAATATGAGGTAGCTGGTTGTGAACAATAAAGCACAATTCAGATACACCAACCAACCAACCAGCTATCAGTTCTTAGCCTTCATATAAACAGCTATATCTGTGTATAGAGCAATAATTAACTTGCTAATGAATTAATGTGCATTTCTTAATAAAAGCCATGAATTAAAAGAAAGCATATGAAGTGTAATCTTTTTTTATTTTTATTACAGATTTTGAACCAGAAGAGGCTAAGAATATAGGTTGCTTGCAGAATTCTGGATAAAGCATTTTTACAGAGATTCTTCACCTTAATCGCACATTTATAGATTATTTATAATTAATTGGATCTATTGTTTCGGCTTTCGTTTAATTACATATCTACACATTTCTCTAATAGTTTGACCATATCCATTTAGCCTGTTAGCTTGGGGTTCCCCAGTTTAAAACAGCTCACTGTCAGGTAAGATTGTTTTTAGCACAACTTAGTAGCTTTTCCACTTATTGCATTCAATGATTGGAAAAATATTCGTTTCCGTCATCGTTCAGGGGTCATCGAGCTGAAAATTGGACAACTTCAAAAAAGGCCAGAGAATTCCTTTCTCCATCTCTGTAAACAATTTTATTCATTCTTTATTTCTGGTCAGCTCTGTGAATCTACAAACTAAATACTCTACCACCTATAAAACAATTACTGAAGCGTATTCAGCATTGATGAAAGTTTTATAGCACACGCTAAGATTGCGTGTTGCTTCCTAACAATCTCTCCAATGCCAGTGACGTCCCTGGTGTTAATTTGCAGTTTGAGGTGGATGAACGTCTTCATCCACCTCAAACTGCATGAAGCATGCATCAACATGTGTCAGTAATGATCCCGATTTCCAAACTCATTCCGATTAAGCAATAAATGTCAAATTCCACCAGTAATTAAATGTGCCAAGAGCCAAATGTGTGCAGCAGAAGTATAAATTTAGGAAATCAGCTTAGGGCTTTGAAAGCTACTGAGGGGGGGACGGTTGACCCTTGGCTGGGACTCTGAAAGGATGGTCGTTTCATGTTGTCCATCTGGCCTTTTTTCAAATCAGACCTTGCAGCTGATGAAGCCAATTCTTCTGCAAACTATGACGCTGACGGTTTCCATCACGAACAAACTACTAGGCCCAGATTTCACCACGATATTTAACTTTAGAGTTTATGTCCCTCTGGCTACACTTACCCAATTAAATGGTTCTTCAGGGGTTCTGCCATAATGACCCCATTTTTCTGACAATTACCGTATTAAACTATCATTGCTTATTGAAAAAGTATCATTACCACAACTATCATTTTGAGACGGGGGGGGGGGGGGGGGGGAGAAAAAAAACACAGCTTCCATCATCTTTTTTAAATGGCTTCTCCTGACAGAGCTATTTCTCCTCTAATGAATCCTGGGCAGTTTTCACGACAGCTAATTAAGGCTTAGCTGGCTCGAGCTGAGGGCCAGGTCAGGGGCCACTCCCCCACAAATTACCACCCTTTAACACTCAGTGAGACATCTGGGTGGGCGGGGGTCTCTATCTGCACGCTGGCCAAAGTCAAATTTAGTAAATGAGAAGGAGGGGATCATTCAAAGCCTGACAATTTAAAGGTGACTGTTTGCTCCCAACTCTAAAGCAAGATGAAGATCTACAAAAGCAAGGCAGCAATAACTAAACTAAATCACACGGTCATATTCAATGAATTGGAATACTAATTGATAAGGCTTCTTTGAAAGATAAAAGTTTTTGAAACCAACCTGTAAGCAGCTAAGACGCAATTATTCATGAAGGCCCAAATTTTGTTGTAGGTAACGGACAATATTCCCTCTATTTTTTTTTTTATAAGCTCAAAGTATGAAATCAGAAAAATATCAGAAAAAGGCCAACAAACATCTGCCTGTATGAATTCACTATCTACAACACTTAGTGAACTGTGTTACACAAATAAACATTCTAATCTATTTAAAACCATATCACAGAGACTCACAAAAGTATTCACTCCCCTAGATTTTTAACATTTTTATTGTCAATTGTTTCGATAAATGGTAATTTGATAAACAATAAATGGCTATGAAGATGTTTTACAAATAAAAATCTCATGTCAATAAAGCCCAAAGCAACCTTTAGAGGTCACCTAGTCAATAAGCAGAATAATGTAGATATCACTTATACTTTGTTCCTTTGGTGAAGCATAGCAGTGGCAGCATCATGCTGTGGGAATGCTCTTCCCAAGTTAGAGCCACAATAGATGTTTTAAGAGCCTTTGAATGTGTGAGAATGTCCCAGTCCAAACATACATTCACTTGAAAGACCATGGCAGCAGCTAAAAATGTCTGGTCACAGATTTGAATACCCTGAATACAGGAAGCATGGTGGTAGCTGCATCACACTGGGAATGCCTTTGATCAGCAGGGATGGAGGCTGATCGAAGTAACTGGGAAGATGAAGGAATGCAGATAAGATATTAGGTGGTGGCAGCCTAGTTCTTAGGGCATAGAGCCTGGAATCCTGAGGTTCTGAGTTCGAGCCCCAGTCCCAAGGACTACCACTCTGGCTCTCTGAGGAAGACCCTAACCCCACACTGCTCCCCGGGTGCCCAACGATGGCAGCCCACTGCTCTCCAAGGGTATGGGTTAATTGCAGAGGAAAAATTCTCCAATGTGAGATCAATAAAGTTAAATCTTATTATTATTATTATTATTATTATTATTATTCATAAATGCAAAGCAATCCAACAGGAAACAATTTGTAATGGGGAGGAGGTTCATCTCCCAGCAAAAATGACAAAATATTCAGCCAGAAGTACAATGGAAGGGTTCATAATAAAGCTTATATTTGTATTACAAGGGTCCAATCAAAGTGCAGACCCTTAATACCACCAATAATTTTTGGTAAGAGTAGAGAATTGTTGATCTCCATCCATCTGATGATGCTTTTCAAAAAGAGAAATGAGTAAAAATGTCCAGTCTATAAATGTACAAACCTGGCAGATTCCTACAGATTACAGGACTTAAAGCTGTAACTGCAGTGATACAAAATACCGACTGTTTGTTTATCCTCCAAAAAGTGTTGGTCTTTCACAGAAATGATCAAATGATTCATAAGTGTTGGTTATTTGCAAGGAAGTTAAAAAAAATCAAAAGGCCCTTTTCTAAGGCACTGTATGATTGCAGCTTCAGTTGGGACAAAGTGAGGCATAAAAACTCTTTAATTACGCTCACTAACGTTTTCTAGTATTTCTCAGTACCTTTTTAACTGTCCCATAAATCCAGTCAATGAAAAGTCTAAATGGCTTCCAATTAGGACATCGTTTTAGATATAATTTGCTGTAATGATTCAAGACTTTTAAAATGATATTCAGTAGCAGACAGATTTAATTCCTTGGCAAATTCATCTGAGCAGCTATTGCTGCTTTCAGCCGTGTGACCCATTAGAAAAAAAAGGTGACGAGTTTAACCATTTACCAAGTTCAAAATGACAATATTTGTCCAACTGATATTTCCAGACGCACACAGAGCTGCAGACAGACTCCTTCAACAGAGGAAGGTCACGAACTATAACACAATAGTCAACGTGGTGATAAGAGTTTACCACAGCTGCCTTCTCTGAGCGCAGCTAATAGGAAAATGATCATTATGAGGGTTCTTATCAGTCTGGGTTTTTTCAGGACATGCACATTAAGACAGAGCCCCAACTTCTGTCTGGTTCAGAAAACCTGCTTCAAATAGCAGCAACGGATGAGTACAGAAGGAGGGGGAAGTTTGCTTCTGGTTAACACTCACCTTAAAGCCCAGCAGCGGAGGTCTGGAGCAACTAGTGACAAACTTTAACAGTTTGCGCTTTTCTTCATCTGTAAATCCTTCAACCACTTCCCAGAAGATCTGGATAACTGGATGAGTAGCAGAATATCCACCTAAAGGAGATTAACGATTAACATAAAACATATCATTTGAACTGCTATTTGTCAATTTGCTTAATCAAATACAAAAACAATGAAGATAGCTTAAAATCTATATTGCACAAATGCAGGAAAAAAATAGATATTGATGCCAGATCATCAAAATAAAAGTTTTATCAATTCTTTAGAGATCTGGATTTAAATAATAAAAACATAAAAAAATAATGAATCTTTTGAATTTAGGTTGAAAAGGTTTCAATGGTAATGTGAAGCCTACTATTATAATTTTATATCCTATATATGTTTGAGGTTGATGGGTCTGAAAGAAAAACGAACCTTGACCCAAACAGGCCTATGCAGAAAAAACACCACAGCACCAAACACCTGGTCTGTTTACCCAGAAATTTCTATGTCTTAATAACTCTACTATGTGATGAGGCAACTAAATTAATAAGGAGTTCAAACGTGTACAGAAGAGAAAACAAAACAAGCATTTAAACTTTTTCAAAGCCTTAAAAATAAAGCTCACTTTCAATGATAATGTCTTATTCACTCTTAAAGTAATGCTTATATATCTAAACTCCTACGGTTTTGTCCATAAACACCTGCATTACTGTGTTTCTCATTATGGTGCAATCCAAATAAAACCTACCTGAATAGTTTGTGAAGTTTTTTAGGTCATCGAGACAAATCGGAACATGCGCTCCAGATATCAGCACCTGTCAGGATGAGGCAGGCAACATGTTTTTCTTTTCATCATGTATTTTTATAAAAAGCCTTTTATGTCAGTAGTTCAATACCTGAATTTCCTGCTGATCAAACATACGCAGCCATTCAAGGTTGACCACATTAGCCAGACCCTGTCTGAAGGCCAGGCAGTGAGGCCTGATCTGCTTGTTGAGCCTGTAGTCAGCCACTAAATGGATGTAAGCTATCCGGTTGGCTGTTGTCACTGGGATATCTTTTCCTCCCAGCTTCAGTTCAACCACCTGCAGGGAGAAAAAAAAAACCAACAACATAAACCTAAATAAAAAAATTACAAGACAAAATTCAAAGATCATATTTTGTAACGCTGTCAGAATAACTTGGCAAAGGAAAGGACATTTTAAAATTGGCAAATAGTCATATTGATATGTTTTAAACTAAAAAAAGTTAACTTATTTCTTGTTCAATATATACTGAGATTAAATAAAAAGTTTGATACGGTTTCTCAAAGTTGTATTAATTCTAACCAACATACCTCCGTTCATTTATCTGATGATAAATAAAGCCTCAGAAACATTTTCATTAACTTAAAAACCACACACCTAGCCAAAAAATTTACTCAATGTTGACGTACTCTTGAAAGAGACAGGAGAAATGCTTTTTCGCACTGTGGTCCACCTAATCTGCTCATTCCCGTAGCCCTGCTAACTCTAACAGTCAGGAATCCATTTTCTGCCTTTTCACCTCCCCACCAGAGTCTGATTATGTGCTAATGTAAGAGAATTACCTCTGTTATCTTGCTAGCTTTGGCTATCTCTCAGGGGCAAATGCAGGGCAGACTGCTCCCGGGTGTGCTTAATCTTTCACAAATTGTTTTCCTCTATCGCGCTCTATTTGGTGACCAAAAGGGCCATATTGTCACTCTGCCGTTTCAGGTGCTGTTTGAGAAGAGCTAATAGGACACGTTAAGGCCCTGAGCAAACAGGGGCCCCGCGTAGTGATCAGGTCTGAGCAAAGCTGAGCATGTCGCTTCAGCATTGAGCTTTAAAGAGAGAAAGGAGCATGCTTAAGGGCTGTTGGCTGCTTCCGTCATGCCTGGTGTGATATAATTAGTGGAGCGAAGGGCAGGCGGAACGGTCAACAGAGCTTCTGCGTCCCCCTGCACTGCAGCAGGGCTTAGAGCGACAGAGCTGACGTGCTTTATCTCTGTCAGGGCTGAGAAGTGGCGCATCAGGCGGGAAATGAATTATTAACGCCACAAAGAGAAACCAAACAGGAGGAAGAAACAGAGCTGAAAAACAAATACAGAAGAGCTGTTCATTCTACTCGGTGCTAGCATTTCCACCAGCATTTACCTGAGCTTCTCCCAGATCGTTGTTGACCACGGTGAAGTTGAGACCCAGCTCTTCCACATCACCCTCATAGCTCTTGAGGAACAGAAGGTTGCGATACATCTCGGGGTCTAAAGAGGCCAGGTGGTGGATGTCGACATCTGCGCTGGTTCCCAGAAGTTTGGATAGGAAGAAACTAGCAAAAGGCAGCTCCACCAGCATGTTCTCATAGAGAGCCTGAGGAAAAGGAGGAGATCAGTAACAGGAACCTTGAAGTTTTTCCCTTTTTGATCGGTTACAATCTCAAAATATAATGTATTTATGGGATCATTAATTAAAGCAGATCGAGATTAAGTGGACGGAAAAACAGTTCATGGGTCTCGTATTTATTGAAATAAAAACCTGAAAAATGAGCAGTCTACATTTATATAACCAATTCTTTTTCTAGTAACAACTAAACGCTGCAGTTATTTCTCTACCACTTTTACGGATGTAAAAACTAAAATGTCTGCCATTCTTTCTTATGAAGTTGCCCAAGCATCAATAGTCTGGTGAGTATATTGTAGAGACAGGATAACTTTCAAGACTGTCCTATTTTAAACCCCAACACTTTATCAATCAGCTTCCCTGTCCCTTTCAGATCAGTTTCTCAGACTTTTTCAGCAACAATCTGATTACCAGTTACTGTTCTGTCTCATCACCTTAGAGCTTTATAAAGCATTTGTCTATTATATCTATCACACTAGAAGTTTCGTAGTCACAGAATATGAAAATATCTTAAGGTTAGGATTTTTTTGGGTCACATATTGATACTGTATTTTTTTTTCCTCTTTAACATCAATGGAAATAGAATGACAACAGTCTGCATCAAGCACATTATCAAACTTCCTGCCCAATACTTGAGATTTACAGCAGTAAATCTGATCGGCTCAAAGCGTTTCAGATCAAAACACAGAGTCCAATCAATCTTAACCATACGGGCTTCATCTTTCCTTGATTCAAACTTTATAAATGCCGATTCTCACCTTGACCCTAAATGCAATTAAGAAGCGCAACCGGGCAGGTGACTCATAAAACCCCTAAGCTAATGTACTGGAATAGTTCGAAAAAGAGCCTATTGGAGACATTAAAATATACAGGCCCTTATAAATGATAGCGCTAAAAACCCTGACCGCATCAGCTAAATGGATTATAAATCTAGAGGATTTCCATAATGCATGCATCTTAAACACACACGAATGCATAAATCACGCCTATTTTCTAAACACAGGTTAACTACGCAACTTCAAACATTGTCTATTTTTTATGCAAAATAATCCACTTAGTGTTACTCCCGGGCCGGCACTAATTTCAGACCATATGCGCTGCGTGGCCCCTTGAAACCTATCAATAACACTTGTGCCGGGAAGAGGCAGCAATAAGTATATGGAAAAAACTCGTAGCCTTATTTTTTCAATGCCACCAGCCTTATTTATGAGTGTTTATTGCCAGAAATTGTGCCAAAATGACTTGGGTTGGAAAGAATTAATTATTATGGCCGGGGGCCTTTTAATATAAGTGAGTGCAGTGGCAACGCAATTAAAGCGGATCGCAGCACCATCAGGTAGAATAAATGCCAACTGTATTGCAGGTGCGTTCTGTTAGCTGCCAAATAAATTCCCTAATTTACAACATTATGAATCAATAAAATTATAATGCCTTTCAAACGCATCTTTATCAGAGAAGCAACACTTTCACACCTCAGAGGAGAGGATGCTGTTCTGAAGGAGGATCGGAGCGATTGCAAAGTGAGAAGAACTGCCGCTGATGAGGGCGGAGGTTCGGTGCTAACGAGATGGGGAGAATCTCTCATGGCGCGTATCCGCCGCATGAGAAATAGGAAGAGTGCCGACACTCTCTGTGATCAAAAGAGCTCCAATCTTTAGGCCCAAGCCACAAATGCAAAGCAGCCTGCGTGCATGTTTTCAATATGTGAAGCTTAAATCTTTCAGTCCTGTCAGCGGGGTGGACAAGTGAAGAAGAGGGATGATGGCCGGCCTCTATTCTGATGCTCAATCCCATTTCAGTGAGTACCCCAAGACAAGCCACTCCCGCCTGTAATACATCACCTCCACAACAATGGCACGCCTCGGACATTAATTAAGAATATTAATCTCCTGTGTCCTTTGAGCTGCAGTGTGCGCTGCGCACGCTGCGGCAGCGGTGATGCAATTCCAATCCATATAAACGGCTTGCCTTTTATCCAGGCAATAACGGCACTAAACAAATATCAATACGCCTATCAAATGGCCACTCAAACGTCCATTTTTATGGAGAAAGAGGAACTTAAGGTAGGGTTAATTGAAAGTCAAATTCAAATTAATTTCCCTCAGCCTAATTGCCTGGACCATTAGCCACAGAGAGCACAGTGCGATAGAGGCAGGAACCGTCGCAGCAGATTGATTGCTTCCCTTTTTAACAGAACAGATGAAAAAGAAATACCAGAAGAGGCGGAGCACAAGCCACGATGCCCCAGTAAGCGGACGACACCATCTAATACTGTTTGAGAGAAGAGCTCTTGGATGTTCTTGACTGTAAAACAGATCAAAATGCTATTACCACATGCTTTGAACGCTTATTTATGTCCTGTCTTTGTGAGGCTGCTGATTTAATGCTGACCAAATGCAATCGCTACACAAACAAGAGGTAGGAATCATCCACTAATGGAAGTCCTAATTGAGAGGTGACCGCTTGTCATGAGGTAATTCCTCTTCGTGTTGCGATGATAGCTCCCTCACGAAAGGCATCTTCATAAACAATCACCACCACATGCATTAGGGATGATTTAAAAACATTAGGCTCTAATAAACAGCTGCATCAGAGGAGAATCACAGCAGACAAAAACCACTGTTGTCTTTTTAAAGAGTTTAATTCAAGCTGTAACCACAGTAGAAGTTTTAGGAATAACTAAAGTTTATATGTACACAAATAAATGATAGCTTCATAGTATTCCAGAGGAAATGTTTGGTGCCCTGAAAAGAATTTTGAAAATAAAATATAATTTTGCTCTAAAAAATTCCATACTATAACATTCTTTTAACTTTTCTGCCGTGACAAGTCAAATAGCAACATTGAGCTGTGTCTAGCTGTGACTACTTTAATAACTCAGGCATGGTTATCGCAATTAGAGGCTGATCTTCAGAAGGGTGAGACACGTGTAGAGGAGATCTTTAAAGAAGGAGCAAAATTATTTGGGTTTGCAATTTAGTATACAACCATTTTTTGTGTTTGTAGCTTTATCAATACGTAGCTAATATTCTAATGTCCAAACCGCTCAGATTCATGGGTCGAGGTTATGCAAACATAAACATTTACATGTGCAGAGCGATTTTCCAAATCTGAGCTAAACTGCAGGAGCAGTTTGGATGTCTTTTTCACTACTTCTGAAGGTTTGATACAAACTAGCACAATCTCTATAAAATAAAAAATAAATTACTGGAATAAAGATGGTGTTATTTTCATTAAATGTTAACAGAATAAATACCTTTATTGTCCCAGAATGGGGAAATTAATCGTGGGAAATTAAAACAGCCTGCAAAAAATATTCCTTGCGGTGTGAAAATATTCACACTGGAAGAAAATCTTGGTTTTAAGTTTTTTTCTCTCTCTCATTTTAAAAAAGCACAAACATTTCAACTGTTTTAAGACAACGCTGTTTTAGAATAGGGGCAATCAACTGGTACAGACAACTTTCTCATGTTTTATATATGAACTTTACTGTTTTACTTTTGTTTTTTATTTTACTTTTGCTCTAACACTTATATATATATATATATAGAGAGATTTTTTTTGTATTATACTTAATATTTTTAAATCATTTTAAAAATTATCTCCAACTAGACAGCTTAGAGATTCATTTTTCTTTTAAGGCCACTCAGCTTGTTGAACAGGCATTCTGCTCATTTTAATGGGCGGGACTAAAACAGTTAACACATCTTAACATTTACTAAGTAATCTTTGTAGATCACCCACAACGCACCCACTAAATGACCAAACCTTTGAAGATCAGACTTCTAGCATTTCTAAAATCTGATTTCCCAAAAAATCTACTAAATATGGTACCAAAATCCGTTAACCCAGCATGGAGTTTGAAGGTTAACTTTACTCTTCCCTTTCTTCCTATTATCTGCTAAAGGTCTTTCTCTCCCTCTTGCAACTCAAATCTTTCCTTTAAAATAGATCCCAACATCTCTGCATCCTCTGGCTTAACAAAGTCTTCAAAAATTAAAATAGCTAACTTTGTTCTTTCTTTCCTCAATAACAACCCATATAATAGTATGTCATAGGTTTCTTGGTGACAGTCATTATGATGCGCTCACTGATATTTTTTATTTCCCTCTGGCCATCTTTAAGTAATTTCCCTCTGGGATTATTAAAGTATTTCTGATTCTGATTTAATCTGATGAATGTGCAAGGGCTAACCTTTCCAAGGATCCTGCCCAGGAAGTAGTAGTGTCTCGTGAAGGAGTCGCCCACCAGCATCTTTGCAGCAGGGTTGGGAAACAACAAGCCCTCATTGGTAGTCTTGAAGAAACCTTGGTTTGGATTAAAGCCTGATTTCAGGAGCTCGTTGAGGAACTCGCGAAAGATGCCGCCTCCGTCAATGCCGGCTTCATCCAGACCATGAGCGTTGAGAAGGTGGACTCGAATCCTCTTCTTAAGGTCTGGTTCTGATCGGTTAAAAAATGTCAAAATTGATTATGGATGAAGAAGAAATGCATAATTTTATAAACTGTATTTTTACCTTTATAATCACAACAATTTAATTTTTAGTTCTTGAACATCATCATAATTCCCTTTTCTTTGCTTTTCCATAGCAGTTGTAGATATTTCTGACATTGACATTTGATTTTAAAAAAGAACCTTCCAAGTGTATGATGGTTATTAAGAATTTTTTTCCTCCTGTGGGATCTCAGGATCAACAAAACAGTAACTCTTAAAGTTGATTTTTTTTTTTTTATTTTTTTTTTTTTTAGAATTGCCATGGGATGTGTGTCAAATTAATTTATAAAGTAATGATACCTGATTGCATTTATTGAATCAGAAAATAAAGTGCCAGCAAAAAATATTCAGATGATAAATGTTTCTGTTTCTGCCACAAACCCTAATGCATCTACTGGGATTTTATCTAATAGACTCAAACACAACGTAGAGCCCAGCTTTGAGTGAGAGGAAAAAAACGCAGCATAAGCAGGCCTCTGTATTTGCTCCTGGTTCACAGCCATCTGCTTCAGTTCACGACTTATCTCCATTTCCACCGCTGCATACCTTTTGACTACTTTATCTTTAGGCTGTTTGTTCTCTTTTAGCTCTAAATCACAGTAATTTATTTGGATTTTATTTGAAAATCACTCCTATCAACATTTCAGTGCAGGTACCACTTGTGATACTCGTCTGTTTCACCCTGAAAACCATTTTCACATGTTAGAATGGTCCAGTCAAAGCCCACACCTAAATGATAACCTGCAGCTTAAACATTGAAGTTGGTAAATGTTCCGCATTTAGTCTGTTTGAGGTGAAGTTATTTAGGAAGAAATAGGCAGATTATAACATACTAACAGAGACATGCCATTAAAATGTTCAGATTGTTACTTATAAGACGTTACTTGATGCAACTACTTTGATACTTTGAGTTGCTCTCTAATCAAATCTATGAAGACTTCTCCAAGGATCTGTGGATCCTTTGAAAACAGCAGGAAATAAAGGAAAGTTTAGCAAGAATAGATTTTACCAGACTGTTATAAAGGTTTTCCCATAAACAAACACTTGTTTATGAGAATAGAACATTCAGATCCATTCCATACAGGTCATCTTTCAGGATAATAAAGGTTGAGCTATAAATCAAATCAGCCCTAACTTATAGACACACAAATGATATAGATCATGTCTTCAACCTAGGTCTCCTCCTACTCTTTTTAATCAGAGTGCACCCCCCGACATCACCAAAGTACCCTTTCAAATTCAACCGCAAAAGAGGTGGCTTAAAATAATTGATTCGCCTTTTATGTGATCCATTATAATAATCACAGTCCCAATTATGCTTTACTGAAATTCAATACCCTGCAGGAGGAGGGAGGTAACCTTCATCCTCCATGCAAACTGGAACCCCGGGCCTCAATATGGAGTCTTTATAGACCTTCACGAGAGTTTCAGTAGCAGCGTGGGCATCTACAGGTGCTGGTCATAAAATTAGAATATCATGAAAAAGTTGATTGATTTCAGTAATTCCATTTAAAAAGTGAAACTTGTATATTATATTCATACATTACATACAAACTCATATATTTCAGATCTTTATTTTGTTTAATTTTGATGATTACAAATGACAACAAATGAAAATCTCAAATTCATCATATCAGAAAATTAGAATATTACTGAAGACCAATAAAAACAAAGGATTTATAGAAATGTTGGCCAACTGAAAAGTATGAACATGAAAAGTATGAGCATGTACAGCACTCAGTATTTAGTTGAGCCTCCTTTGGCCTGTATTACTGCAGCAATGCGGCGTGGCATGGAGTCGATCAGTCTGTGGCACTGCTCAGGTGTTATGATAGCCCAGGTTGCTCTAATAGTGGCTTTTAGCTCTTCTGAATTGTTGGGTCTGGTGTATTGCATCTTCTTCTTCACAATACCCCATAGATTTTCTATGGGGTTAAGGTCAGGAGAGTTTGCTGGCCAATTAAGAACAGGGATACCATGGTCCTTCAACCAGGTACTGGTAGCTTTGGCACTGTGTGCAGGTGCCAAGTCCTGTTGGAAAATGAAATCTGCATCTCCAAAAAGTTGGTCAGCTGCAGGAAGCATGAAGTGCTCTAAAACTTCCTGGTATGTGGCTGCGTTGACCCTGGACCTCAGAAAACACAATGGACCAACACCAGCAGATGACATGGCACCCCAAACCATCACTGACTGTGGAAACTTTACACTGGACTTCAAGCAACGTGGATGAAGTGCCTCTCTTCTTTTCCTCCAGACTCTGGGACCTTGATTTCCAAAGGAAATGCAAAATTTACTTTCATCAGAGAACATGACTTTGGACCACTCACCAGCAGTCCAGTCCTGTTTCTCTTTAGCCCAGGCAAGACGCTTCTGACGCTGTCTGTGGTTCAAGAGTGGCTTGACACAAGGAATGCGACAGCAGAAACCCATGTCTTTCATACGTCTGTGTGTGGTGGTTCTTGAAGCACTCACTCCAGCTGCAGTCCACTCTTTGTGAATCTCCCCCACATTTTTGAATGGGTTTTGTTTCACAATCCTCTCCAGGGTGCGGTTATCTCTCTTGCTTGTACACTTTTTTCGACCACATCTTTTCCTTCCCTTCGCCTCTCTATTAATGTGCTTGGACACTGAGCTCTGTGAACAGCCAGCCTCTTTAGCGATGACCTTTTGTGTCTTGCCCTCCTTGTGCAAGGTGTCGATGGTCGTCTTTTGGACAACTGTCAAGTCAGCAGTCTTCCCCATGATTGTGTAGCCTATAGAACTAGACTGAAAGACCATTTAAAGGCTTTTGCAGGTGGTTTGAGTTAATTAGCTGATTAGAGTGTGGCACCAGGGGCCATCAATTTTGAACCTTTTCACAATATTCTAATTTTCTGATATGATGAATTTGAGATTTTCATTTGTTGTCATTTGTAATCATCAAAATTAAACAAAATAAACATCTGAAATATATGAGTTTGTATGTAATGTATGAATATAATATAAAAGTTTCACTTTTTAAATGGAATTACTGAAATCAATCAACTTTTTCATGATATTCTAATTTTATGACCAGCACCTGTAGTAAACCATTTCTGCCTTGTGTTCGTCATTAAATTAAGGAAATCATTAATGCATATGGACTTCTTAAGTTGAATGCAACTCACACACAATCACATAACTGTGCTTTTACTGAAATTACAGCGACACTCGTCTCACCGTTTTCTGGGGATAGTTTATCGTAGGCGTCTTCGTAGATGTAGTTGCGTCTAATGGTTACATTGATGCCGTCAGGGAACGGCCCATCCCCCTGCACGTCCCGTTTGTCCACCGAGATCAACCGCTGGAAGATCTGGTGGGAATAAATCGTTTCAGTTGAGCTTAATATACAATTTTACCGTAGGTAGATGCAAAAACTATAAATGCTGAAAAACATCCACCAAAGAGCTTTATGCCGGCAAAAATTGAAAAGAGCTTTTTAACTTTAACCCATTATTCATCATAAAAACCTCAGAAACAAAGATAATTGAACGTTTCTTCAAGTATTAAAAAATAAAGCCTTTGAACAGCATGACTAATCTTGAGGATAGAAAGAAATGTAAATTTGGTGTTTCTCTGTGTTTTATTTGAACACTTTCATACCAAGTTCTCCAACCAGTCCAATAAATAACAACTAAAATATATATTTTTTTTTTATGCAAAGGCTTATTTAAGATGATAAAAATAGGCTACGCAAGTTAAATTCAATGAGAATTTGTTGCTTCACTAAATAAACATTATATGAGCGCTTCAAGTATAAAATATCTGCGTGAGATGGTGACATTAAAACAGGTGCAGACCAAAACCAACGCGTTTATAGCTGCTATCCAGCAGATTTATAACAGCTTCCTACCCAGTCATCCTCATCGGTCTCTCCCTCTCCACCTTAATCGCTATTGTCAATATTTTGAAGCATTTCTAAAGCCTGTTTCACGGTTAGATTTCTTTTGAAAATTAATTTTATGTATTAGCCAACGTTTTCTCAGTAGAGTGTTGGTTGCTAGGCAATGGTAAAAATCAATTGCGGGAAGAATTTACAATGCAACTAATAGAGCCGCCAAATGATGGCTGTGGAAGATGGAGGTAAAATGAACCATATTTATTTTTTAGGTTTTTATTTTATTTAAAAAGGAATCTGAAAATGAAGAAAATATAAAAAAAAAGAAAAGTCAGTTAACATGACCATTATATTATTAATATAAATAAAGTTATTTCACTTCAAAATTTCAGACCTGTCAAAATGACTGCTTTGGGAGTTCTAGTGTTAATAGGAATCAATGCTCGCTGTCTGGTGAAACTAAATTAACTAGATCTAAATCTGTGATCTTGATTCAAAATAAAGGTTTGTGATGTTACTAAATGTAGCGCAGCAGTGAAATACCTTGACTCGCTCCTCAAACGGAACAACAAACGGAAGCTCTGTAAGGATGGCCAGGTGTCTCTCTTCAGACACAGAGAGCTGCGGAGGCTCCAAACCAACTGCAAGGATAAACACAAGTACAATATGTTGAACAAGAGCTTGTGTAGAAAAGCATGTAGTAAATATGTGAAGATGAAGATATATATACATACATATATATATATATACATACATACATACATACATACATACATATATATATATATATATATATATATATATATATATATATATATATATATATATATATATATATATATATATATATATATACAGTTGAACCGAAAAATTTTGACAATGCAAGAAGACTTTGGATTCAATGCTCTGTTTTTAAGAAAGCTGTTGAATAGTGAAAATAATGTTTTATGTATTTTCTATATCTAAAGAAGGTTTGAACAGCTGTGACTCTTAATTTATTAAACCCATCCAGGTTAATGTTTGCTTAGATTCAAGGTTTGGACGGATTAGCTCCAAGGAGGGGAAAAACAGCTCCGATCACTAAACTGCTCTTTACCCTTATCGTTCAAATGCAGCTCAATTATTCAGCTCAATTAGTCAACCTGATCTGCATTCTCCCATCAGGTTTCCATCTTTGAGGAGAAATATCGCCTTTGAGTGGTCAATACGGGGCTCATTTATCAGCACTGGGTCTGTCCATTTAAGGAAATGAGCAAAGGCCAGACAAACACATAGGCCAGATGTGGCTGAGTTCATCAGGTACTTTCACTCTAATTGAATTTATCTAATACGGGCTCCGAGTGGCATTAGGGAGATCATACACACATTGTTATCAGCCTGTTTTCACACTATAGGACACAGAAACGCAGATTAGTTAAAAGTGAGCCTAATGAGCCCTGCGTGAATCTGTGTTTCCATCTGAGTTAGGTTAAATGAGTCTGTGAAGACAGTGATTCGCATTGGCAAACATAGAGGCTCGGATTTCAGAAAGAAATCACTCATTTCCTGAGTCCACACAAACCCTAAAAATTCATAAAATAAACTATGTTTGTTTGAAAAACAACGACAGATAGAAAAAAAAATGTGTGATTAAAATAAATACATTTAAAGATTTACTTGACGACTCACTTGACGACACACTTTAAACACCTCTTAAAGAAATATAAAGATTATTTTTTATTTTATTTTATGAAGTTTAATGAGCATAAATACAAAACCTTTTGTAAAAACTCCATTATCTTAATTTAAAACAAATGGCTTAATGGTGGACTACAATACCATCCAGTGTAGACTGAAGAGGCCCAATGCGCCCCATCCGTCGTGTTCTCCACACGTGTCTCGCTGATGGGACATACAGCTGGGTGACCTAGACAGAAATAGGAAACGTAAAGATCCCCTTTTTCTTGCAGGTAAAGGATTACAGCTGCTTTAAGATTCAAAAACTAATTTAGCATAACATTTGACTTTTGTTGACTGAAACAGTCAAAATCTGATTTAATTTTCAAACATTTAGTAAGAGTTGCTGCCCTTTCCTTGCTTTTTGGAAAAGCAAGTCGGTCCTTGAGTGTCACTGTCCTGCAGCTTTTACATGCATCCCTGCTCCAACAGACCTCAAAAGGTCAAATAACCTCCTTGGCATGTTGGTAAGTTTAGCAGAGGCCTGGCCATTAACCATTCATTTTTTTTTTTTACCAGTTGTGTTGAAGAAGGGACGTATGCAAACGCTAAAGAAAAGTGGCACTTGAGGATTAACATTGCACGTACATCAGGGAAGCATGGCAAATTCTAAGATTAGCTTATCTTTGCTAAAATAGTATGCCTGAAATTACAATAGGGCAAACATAGTGGAAGCCATTAATTTATCCAGACTCTGATCAATCTCTCTAGATCTATCCAGTCTTAGGATAAAATATCTGAAGTTCTATAATGCAGGTTGAGCACCTTATCGGCTCGGATGTTGACCTCCTCAGACAGCCAGTGACCTGCCGGACAGAAAGGCCGCCGGATGTCGCGAGCTTTCAGCATCTTCACCAAGTTAGTGATGACCTGCGTTGTAGATCAAACACATACATCACATTAGCATATTAGCATAGCACATTAGCGACAGAAATATTCACTGCAGTCGAAAGCAAAGAGAGCAGTGAGGTCTTTTTTTTCCTCCTAATGTATTGACTTTGAACAGGATGGAGTGCTTCATCTTAGAGGGGGGAAAAAAAGCAATTTGAGAATTCAGCCATTAGTGCACCATTTATGGGGAGTATAAAAGAAAAACGACCTGTACCGTCCCTCAATGCCCAGCCTTGTTAATTAACAGCGAGGTCTGCTGACATTAGCCGTCGAACAGAGAACGCCAAGGCTTTACAATTCACCGTGCTTCGAGTACAAAACGGGCAGTCTAACAGGATGTTAAAAAGAAGTTAGTAAACTCTGATGTAACGTTGATGGTAGATAAAATTCTGTCATTTCTGTTGTCTCTGACTCTCCTTGGTGCCATTAAAAACCCTTTTCTGCTTATTTTTTTGCCAGAAAGTGAGCAGAAAAATCTAATTCCTATTAAGGAAGCATTTCTACAAAATATATTGCCATTTTAAAAAGCTTGTGTACCCTTTAACAGAGGACACAAGTGATGATAAAATTACAACTTACAAACTACAATAAAAACAAGACTTCCACATCCAACTATTGTGGGCTTCTTTTCTGCTATAGCAAAACACGTTTAGACACCTTTGAATAATGTCAAATATGTCATTGATGCAATAACATTCACAGCCAGTCCATTTCCATATAATACCCCTACTGGATTATCCCAATCGAAACCCTCCTCTATAAGGCATGTCATTTTCATAGAGCGACAATCAAAGCCGGCCAATCACCAGGAGGCAATAAGAGTCCGCAATAATGCCGAGTGCAAAATGATGTAAAAGGTGCGTGGAGATGGGCCGGGAGCAGATCCACCCTCTGACTCTGAGGATGAATAAGCATTCCTTAATTAGCCCATCGGGTTAAGTGCAAACCTTAATGGGCCTTTCCCAAACTCCGGCGTGACATCTCTCTCCAAACATGGCCAAGAAGAAAGTTCCATTAGCAATATTAATACAAGCTTAGTTGATCATTTTCATTCAATTAACTTCTTTCAATTAAATAGATAGCTCGACAATGGGGGCGATAAAAGATTGAGAGGGACGGCTGATGACACGAACCAAACATTAACGTGTTAGGGGTCAGTGGCGTTAAACCAACTGTAAATCCCACTGTTCAATTTGGAAAATGCATTTTCCCTGCTTCTCACTTCTTTAATGGGTCATTTTAGCTGACAGGAGGCCTTTGAACTGATCCTTTCTGAAAACTCCTCTGATGTGCTTTTGGTGTATAGTACACCTCCTTCCAAAAGCTCATGTTCACTCCCAACAGACAAAAACCAAAGTGACTTAAGCACCATTTGCTTCAATAAACAATAGACTGAGAAATTATCAAAGGTCTTGGCTGAGAGGAGTTCAGTTAATTCTGTTCTCTGCCTCATTTACCACCAGTAAACAACCAGTGGCTCTGCATCTTGTCCTTGTCCATATTTTATAAAACTTTGAATGAGAGAAAATCATTACAATCCTCTGCATCAACAACAATTGAAACTATCCAGTTCCCCTAAATAACCCAGCTCTGCATAAGGATATATCAAATATTTTAAGGATAAAGAGAACTAAGAGGTTTGGTAAATGTGAATGACTAAAAATGTTCTTGCATGAGGCTGGCTAATAAAAAAAAGTTACTAAATCTGTTTACGGGGAATGCTCTAGGATCTTTCCATCCATAAAGGAAATACATCTATATGTTTGATAAAAGTATATTTCAATCTTGATAATATGAGTATAAGTGATCATTGCTTCTAAATATAGGGTACAATTGACAATCTATTTGCACTACACACAGCTACAACCATTGGATAGTAGATCCACAAGTTTAGGGGATGAGTTTACAGGAATTTAACCATTCTTCCATAACTTTTTGTCCACACTAGTTTGTTGACGAGAATCCTGGCTCTCATCTTTTCCGATCTTAAATTTATTTCAAAGTCAGTTATAATCGAGGTTAGAGGTAACAAAAACTAAGGCAGAGTTCAATTAAGCATCTAACCAGAATACTATAACAGGTCTTATGGACCTTTTTGTATGGATTGCTCGTATATGTTCCAGAAAGTGGATATTCAAAATTTGTTCACAATGGGGCATGGTTTTAAAATTTGTTGTGAAGATCAATTAACCATAAACACAAACCCAAAAGCTAAAAACAACCTCTATATCACTAAAATTCTCTTTCAAGTAAAACATACATTTCAAATGCAGTAAACAAGGTTCTGTTTTTCTTTTCAATACCCCAAAGCCGAGTTACAGTCGACTGAGTTTGAAGATGGAGAAGAGCGATTTGTTATTTACCGAGAAGCTGCACCCGTCTTCACTGCTCAGTGGAGCCTAGTGGCCGCGTTGGCTTCTACCCACCGCATCCGAACAGCATGACTTGCACTGTGGTTTTTTATGGGTTGGGATGCAGCTGCTGACCCAGGACACGCCCTTCATGAAACTGGCAAAGTCACCGTTCGGCTAATTGAAGGGCCACATAAGGATTGGAGGTCTGTAGTGATGAACTGCTCAAAGTTGGGACGTTTTCATATGGCTTTAAATCGCTGAAGCTCCTTAGTTTACGGGGCACTACATTAGGCTGATCGATGGATAGTTCCAAACATGACATCACCGATTCATGTATAATACAGACTTAAATTGAAATGGAATATTAATAAAGACACTCTTTCACGACCATGGATTTGGGTGCGAGCAAGGTAGGCCTCCTAGATCACAATGTTACACCAGAAATTCATAGTCCTGGACTTGGGCCTTTTTACAAAATGTTTGTTTATGAAAACCATTTGCAGCTCAGTTGTTGATTGTTCCGTGGCATGGAAAGTGATATGGAACACCTTTTGCCTTCTAATGTAATTACGCAGTCTGTCCACGCAAACTGACCATTTTGCCCACATTGATGATAGGTACATGTCTGATTTTGTTTTTAGTAGGATATATATGTAAAAATAAAAAAATTAATTTATTATATATATATATATAATTTGCTTTCATGAAATTGAAGGGAGACAAATTACAAAATCTATTTTGAACTACACCACTCAGCCCTACAACCATGGTATATAATACCAGTTAAAGGGGATAAAAGGACAAGATTTAAACCAGGATAACAGCAGGATGTGCCCATATTTTTGTCCCTAACCACAAATAAGTTTTTAGTTGACAGAAATCCGTGCAAATCAATCCATCTTTTCCGATTCTTCTAAGAACATTTTTTCAAACATTCAGCTAAAATAAAATCTAACATGTTAAAAGGAACAAAAACATAACAGAGTTTCAACTTAAGACATCTAACCAAATAATAACAGGGGTCTATGCATTTATTTATGGATTTCTGTATAATTCCAAAGACGTGGATTTATTAATAGTATTTGTCAACATGAGCGGCCAGTTTTTAAACATTTGTTGTAAGACAATTAACCCATAAAACAAACAAAAACACCAAAAAGCAAGAAACAGATGCCATTTATATATTAAATTGTTTTGTCAATGTTAAATGTCAGTACATTTTCTAAATGAATGAAACAGAAGGTTTTTGGTTTTTCTTTGCAAATCTACCCAAAGTCGGTTAGAGGAATCTGACTTGAGTTTTGAAATGAGCAAGAGCTAGTTTGTTATTTACCTTGAAGAGCTGCACCCAGCGTTTCTGCTCAGCCTGGATGCGCTGCTGGACCTCAGCGTTGGTCTTCACGCCCACGCTGCGGAAGGCAGCCATGTACTCCTCCCTGTGCTCTGCTTTAGTTTCAGGGTAGGCAAGCTTGATGATTCCCAGACACGCATCCCTCAGACAACGGGACAAAGTCACCAGTTCGGCCAGAGTGAAGGGCATCATAGAGGACTGCATCGGACCTGCTCAGAAGGAGAACATGCTCAAAGCCTTGGAACATGTTTTTTATTTTATCTTTAAATCTCAGAAAACTAAACACTTATTTAACAGGGGGCACTGAATTAAAGGCGACCGATGGAAGTTACAAACATGACATCAAACCAGGGATTACATGCTACTGATCTATGCACTTAAAATGAAAGAGAAATATTAATAAACACTCTTTCAGACTCATAAATTGGGGCGAGCCTTTAAGGTAGCCTCCTAAGGACTTTGTCGAACCAAAATTAGATTTTAACCCACAGAAAATTATCAAAAGTCTGGACTTTGTCCTTTTAACACATGGTTATGCTTTTATTTGAACCATTTCAAAGCAGCTCCAGTTAGTTGTTGTCCGGCTGGAAAGTGAATCATAATCCTATCTCAGTATTTTGCAGCTTCTAATGTAATTACACTCCAGTCATTTCCCCACCAACTCTGACCAGCTTCCCACAGTTGGATGCTGCGACCACTGTGTTTCTACGTAACAATATTTTTTTCAGGAGGATGCATATTGTTACTTTTAAGACACATTGAGTTTTTGCATAAAGGACAAAAAGTTAGATTTTGACTTCATGTCAAGAACTCATTTTCTCTGGTCCTAATGATGCAGTTAGTTCACCGAGGTTCTTTAAGAAACCTGGGGCATTTCCAAAACACTGAAACTAAATCACAAAAAGGTTTGCTTCATAACTAGTACATTTACTTCTGAGGCAACTGGAAGTGGTATTAGAGTAACGAGATGCGAATGCACACACACCAGATTTCTTTTTTTTTTTCTTTGAGGAAACCAAACTTCTTTTTTTTCCCCCATGTGCTTTGTTGTGATGGTGAATCAAATTGAATTCCAATAAAATGTTTTTAAAAATTAATTCGAATACAAATGAGTATATATATGCAAGGCCCTATAATAAAACCTATACAAAATCTCAATGGTAATTAACAAAAGATAATAAGGACACTAACTTTTCACATTTGAGCACAAAGACTAGGAATGTTACTTCAGATCATAATAGATCTATGTACAACCATGCTTATTAGATTGACATAACCAGTACCTTCAATTTCATGCCCGAAGAATTCACTGTCATGGACAGAAATAAGAGAGTGACTGAAGAGAGAGCTGAAGAGGTAAAAGAGTGGGATGATTCGGTTTGAATCTTCAAATGACATGGGAGAACCTCGGGAGATCAGCTGGAGCAGTGGCACCATGGAGCTACGGAGGAAAAACACAGATAAGAAAAAATTAGGCATGATAAAACTAGTGGCTTTATGGGTCACAGAAACATGCATCAACACAGCATCTTACCCAGTGATCATTTTTGTTGTCATGGAGGTTATCAGGTGCCAGAGATGCCTCAGGAACCGAGTATTGAAAGCTAAGCTGTACAGGAGTCTGCAACAGATGAATTAATAACCCAGGGTTCATCAAAAAGATTCAAGACCCAAATGCATTAAAGGGAGTTTAAATGACACAATCAGTGCTAGAAGCAATAAAATTACTCTCAGCCAAACGGTCTGCAGCATGGGGATTGTTAACTCGGACTCGTTTATCAGGAGACACAGAAAAGGATGAAGACATTCTAACCAAACATTTCACTTAGAGAATTTTCCTGGCCTTTCCCTCCTTTTATACTTTGCAAAGGGGGCAAAAGGAGATTAAATGAGCCATTAAGCTTTATTTAGGCGAGGCACCTTCCATTAGTAAACTAGTTGCTGGCGAGGGTGCCCAGCTCAGGTCATAAACAGCCCCGCTGGCTTCCTGCTGGAGCCCCCCATTTAAGATAATGACCAGGGAACTAGGACAATAGGAGGAGGGGCACCCTGGTCCTTTCCGTGACCCCTGAGTACTAGCATGCTTCCACACTCAGGTCGAATTAGTCAAGAATCAGCAGCCACATACCTCCCTGTTATTTCTCAAGACTTGCCAGGTTGTGGCAGGAAGGTGTGAAGGGCTTCTTTGTTCCAGAGGGTGTTTGTTTGTGTATATAGACGGTGGAATTGCACCACTTTTCACACCGAGGGTAAGTAAAGGTGACCATAGTGTGGTAAGTAAGCTAAAAAATAAAATAAAGTGTCTGTGAATGGAATAGCCCCTCGCCATAGGATTGACAGCTGTAAAGAAGCTATCCTTTAACAAGGCAGCAACTAAAAGAGAGACAACAAAGGAGAGAGAACATCCAAATTCAAAATATAAGCCTTTAAATTCCATCCGTTCCTTTCAAATACATCAAAGCTCATTCAGAAATCCTAAATTAGAAATGAACATTAGGGGGGCAAACTGTCAGGTGAACCCTCAATAAGGCTTGAAAAATGGCTGGTGTCGAGCACAGACCATCTGTCAGTGCAACAAGGCTCCGAAGAGAAGCACGGAGCAGCGCTGGGGGCTCATAACAAGCCCGGCTGGTGTTTGATTGAAACGAGAAACAAAGCACTAAATGCCAGCTGACCTGCTGATTTACGGCCGCGCCCCTCCCCGATTTCAATCACGGAATGAAGCGCTAATAAACAAAGTCAAAGAATCAAAAGGAAGGGTGCGTGTATGTGTGCGCGTGCGAAAAGTGTCTTGATAAATAATGTCTGGATCGTTTCATTTCACTGTGATGAAAAGGGAAAAAAAAAAACATGGAGGACGTGGGTTGGGTCAGACTGGAAACCACAAAGCCAGAGTGAGTTTCTGCCTCCATGCAAAAAAGATCTACATGATCATTACTTCACAGCAACTCAGAAATCACACCAACTATCTAAAAGTAAATGTGGATCCCTTCCATCAAAGGGGAACCCGTTAGCAGATTAGTGCTGAGCTGGGAAATTACACCACATATCTAACTTAAGCAATTAAAAGGGAAATTGCAAGACTGTCATCAGAGCGAACAGAAGCTCCATTCACTAATCAAGTCAAATAAAATTTAAAAAATATTTTAAAAAATTACTTAGAATAAAGAAATGTTAAACACTTTTCCATATCTACTACAAAGGAAGTGTGCTGGGCCTCCTACATGCTGCCAGTCTCTTCCTTTTTTTGCTGTTAAAGCAGTAAATCAAGACCGGGATGCAATTTGCTCCCCTTAGCCTCTTGTAAAGCTATCCCGTCCGCTCCTGCAGTGATTAATCTTTCTACGTGAGCTAATTATTTTGTTACAGATATCCAATAATGATGGAAGACGAAGGACAAGATTTATGATAAAAGTGGGGAAGAGAAGGAGGAAGCTGTAAAAGAGGACAGAGACCAACCAATCCTCAAGAACTCTGCAACATTAAACCAAACTACGAGGTAAATTTAGTATCCAAGGAGAGCCTTTTCCCCCATTTATTGCTGGAAAATGGCTAAAACACAGTCAGCTTGGATGAGAAGCATAAGTAAGCATTAATTTGGGAGACTTGCCACTGATGATCAATTGGATTTGTTCTGTACTTTGACTGTGCCGTTCTAATTCATTAAGATCTCTCTAACCATGTACAATAAATACCAACATCCTCCTGTTATACTTAAATATGCCTTATGTTCTCATTGCATAGAGCTGATTTAACACATGTGGACATTTTCTGTCTTTTCTACATATTTTTTTAAGTATTTGTATTGTTTTTTTTTTTCTTCGCCTGTTTATTGGCATTCAAAGTGTAGAGCAAAGGAAGAAGTTTATTACAAAGGGAAAGTTGACCTTGTGTAGAACAACAAATGTGAAACTGGACTGAAAATGGTCTCATGTTGGATCTTTTCCCCTAATTGCTCAGTTTTCAACCTCAGCCATATTTCAGATCTATTTTGCCATCCATGCTAAAGAAAAGCATACTCACAGCATCATGCTGCCACTGCCATTTTTCACCTCAAGGATGACAAACAGCAACAGCTTTGTGCTACTCACAGCTTTTTGGATTTAGATTAAAAATATCGATCATAGTCTCTTCTTTGTGACTGTGTGTTGTAGAAAACCCTGTTAAAACACTGAACTGTGTGGTTACAATGTGTTAATGGGATAAAAAGTGTGTTTAGGACAGTCTGTAGCCTCTGAAAATATACACAATTCCCTATCAGATACATTTAAACTGCCAGGTAAAGACTCCATGAATGATTAACTCCACTGGATTACCGCCCACAAGGCTGAGTCTAGCTCACTCCATGTTAATGTCATTAATGAGGAAAAGGGTTCATTTCCTCTCATCCAGAATGAATGGCTTCCCTGACATCTCTACCGGTTATAAATACCAGTAGGTACAGACCAAAGATAACTGCCTGTCGAAATCCCCTCCTAAGCTACACAGCCCAAACCCCAACAGAAACAAAAACATGTTTACTCAGTTAGCGAAAGGCTCCTGCTTGTGTATCGTTGACTGCAGAATTCACAGAAACATTTTTTTTATGTTGTGTACAACAGTGTTGAAATAAGAAGCCTAATTCTTTAGGTTCTTACTAATGAGAAGATGTAGTTTGGGCCTTTTTTCCTACCTAACTTTAGGAACCATTAGACGATGTTGCACCATGAGTGTGTGACAAATGGATGCCATCATGGTGAAGACTTCCTCGCGGACTGTATCCCCCCAAACCAGGTTCAGCAGCGCGTTGGTTTGCCGCTTCGTGTCCAGCTTGTGGACGCATTCCTCCGTTATCAGCTGCACAGAAATCCGGCTGTTGTCCTAACAGATACCAAAGGAGATGCTGTTCATGACAATGGGCTTAAGAGTCCACAAATGAAAGGTGTTTTGCTTCATCATCAAAAATCTGCTCAATTTGGCAAATAGGTTTTTATCCAATAATGACTTATAAGAGCAAGTCATATCCTATTGTTACACCAACAACATGAACATTTGCACCAAAAGTGAAGCAAATTAATAGAAAGAACTGAAACTTAAGACTAGAACTCAATATTTTTGATATCCTGAATGTTAATTTATTTTTAAAAAGTCATTAAATGTAGCCAAAATGAAATACCACATGTTGCATCAAATGGAGCTTCAGACAACCTCTGGCATAACGAAACATCAAAGGCTTTCATACTTCAGATTTCTACATTCTGGATATTTAGAGCAAAGTTTTATCCTCAAACTTGATAATAATAATGGTTGAGTATTTTGTGAACATATCAAAAACCAAATGATGCTTCCAAATTTTTAAAGCATTGTATAGCAGCACATCTTTTATACTATCAAGCTAACTTTGTTTTAGAGTAACGTTTTCATGACTGTTACAAGTCATGTTTCTAATGCTGATTTTTTTTTTTTCTTTCAAAGCACAGTTTGTGGAATTTGAAGAATTTGGTTTTTAAAACCAGTCAAAATTTAAGAACATTTAATTTTCAAATTGCAGAGGCACTCAAATTTGCGTTACATTTAACAAGACAAACAGACTTTTTTTTTTTTTCCTCAACCCAGCCCATACGGTGGTTGTAATATGATTAACGTTTTTCACTTCCATGAAAAAGTAAAGACAAACTTCCAGCTAGCACACAGATCTATGCATGCAAGTAGCTGTTCCCACTACCACTGATTGTTCCCTTAAACTGCTATTTCGGCCAGTGAGAAAGGGGTATGACGTGTGTCTACCTGGTCAAACGCCTCGGCAAGCGACCCGGGTTAAGATGGCCTCAGAGATTTCAGAATACAGAAAGAATAGGTGAAGCTAAGAAAAGGCACTGTAGCGCATTCTACCAGTCGAGGTCTTCTTCGGTCATAGCACATGCAATTCTCCTTGTATGTCCAGCAGAATTGCCATATTTTAACTATTATATTTAGCTAATATATAGCTGAGAAAAACAGTTAAGCAGAGAAAAAAGGTCTGACTTGGATGTAATTATGTGCAAACGGTGATTTACAACCTCTAAGTTATACCACCACTAATGCTTTCATGTGTCTGTATAAAATAAGGAAGTTCCAAATGTTTCTTTTTTTACTTTGGTCAGCTTCAGCTCACTTAGCCAGTTTTATGTGCGTCTCCATTACTGGTTTTACGGTACCATATAAATTTTTTGGGCTCCAGGAAATTTCATGAAACTTTTCAAGCTTTGCAGAATCACACTGAATGATAAAACAGTTTTAAGAACTAAGAGACTCAAAGACAGCCTCTTCCCTGAAGCTGTCAGTTCTTCAGTGCTAAAAGTCCAAATTCATTTAAAGAAAAACAAGCTCTTTCTATTGTTCTTTCCTCCCTTCTGCTAATCTAAACTAAATTTCCTCAATTAAGTTCTTCATGTATGATGGCCCGTATGAGATATTGTGATGAAGAGCACAGCCCCGGCCAATCACATTTGGACAAAAGCTCTTATTCCACAAAATAAAAACAAGTGGGGAGGAAGTCATCTATTAATAAACGCCCTGCCACGTATTTGATTGTTTAAGTTTGAGGATGTCACAGAAAATAATTTAACAGGATTAGTCTCATCACACAGAAACTTTCTTTAATCTAGCATTAATTTTTAATGATGTATTAAAGGCTTAGGTAAACGTACCTGCATGGGGATAGGATGCATATCCTCGTCATCATCCTCCGAATCACTGGTCAGTTCTGGCCGGCTGGTGCTTTCTGACACCGGTAGCAGCGGCAGCAGGGCCTGCAGAGCCTGAAGGTAGAGCAGGTGTCCCTCCTCTGACAGTGAGTCTACCAAAACACATGGATCACTACTACACAGTTTGAACTATGCACTAAAACTACAAAAACCTACAAAAATGAAATGTGTGCAGCTGTATGCATGAAGTTTAAGCAAGCCACCTACTTAAACAATTCTCTCCTGCACAGAGGACAAAGTAGAAGAGCCAGGGAGCCTTGCTTTGTGCTGCTGAGAAAGAGTGGATTGTGACCTGCAGGGAGCTCAGGAAGGCCTCGAACGGAAACGACAGGCGGCGGTCAGAGAGTGCCGGAATGAAAAAGTGAAAAATCTGCTCGGTGAATGGTGCAGAGATGAACTCCTCAGTAAATGCTGCAAATACAAACTGCCTGAAAGGCAACAGGAAAAGATTCCTTTGAATAGATTTTAAGAAGCAGTGCAGGTGTTAAAAACAAACAGGAGTTACAATCCTGCTTTTCTGTTGGTGTTCTAGCCTGACAATATTGTCTCTCCAAATAGGACTGCTTTGTGCAGCCTGATCAATAACATCTGGTGAGCTGAAGCAGAGATAATTAAGTGCTGGAATCACTGTGTACATAAGGCCTCTCATTCCTGTCCTGCCTTTCTTTATACGAGAAAAGAAGCTGACATTAGAAATGTCTTAAACAGAGTGTCAACAGGCTGATATTCAGCTCAGGAGTCTGTGGAGACATTTATGACTTATCGTAGGTGGGTCTGTGAAGTAATTACTGCTTCAGGACTAATGGAGGAGAATACACTAACACAAAAGGAGACCAAACAGCAAACCAGTTTATTTGGTTGGAAGAACCCACAGGAAACAGCCTGAACCTGCATTTACACTCTTATTTTCCTTTTTGTTCTGCATAGAAATTGAAAGAACTGAAGACCTTGCTTACTTTGAACCCTAAGGTTTAGTAAAACACCCACTTCAGTCATATAAGTGTCACAATAAGCACATTCACCTCAAGGAGAGGTTACGATCAAGTTTTTTTTAGTTAAGAAGAAATACAGTTGGACAGCAGAAAATTACAAAGAGCTACACAAGCGTTACAAGAGCTAACTGTAACACAGTGATAACACGGCAATAATTCTTAAAATATTGACTACCTGACAAAGCCTTCATTTGTTGCATTTTAAAAACATGGGAGTATTATGTAGCTGCATTCAGAGCTGGTGTGCTGGTCCACTAGGTCTGCAGGCATCTACCTCTCAGACTTATTTTACTGTTATTTTGGTTTTCAACATGGGTTTTGCTGATCTGTACATTACTTCTTCTCTACATACAAGTTTTTTGTATTTTAACCTTATAAAATATATCATGAGCAAAAGAAAAAAAACAAAAACAAATACCTATAAAAAGGAAAGGCTGCAAAAACTGTAAACTGCATACCTTGCGCCTGTTGTGCAGGAGGAGTAAGTAAAGTGCAAAGGTTTGAGAATGTGCTCCAACAGTGTGCTTGCCAGAGGGATAGAGGGAGCATCGCTGTACTCCAAACTGGGAGGCAGCCGGTGATTTACAAGACTATACAGTGATTTATAGTATCCTAAAAAATAAAAAAAAAAACATGCACAAAGTTAGACTTTATGAAATAATTTACACATTAGGGGGATTCTTTACCTATCGTAGAATTTGTTTCTCAGGCAAAAATAAGAAAAGCAAAAACACAAAAAGACAAACTTAGAAAACATTTATAATAGATAAATTACAATTTATATTATATTATATATATGGTTTTATACTGAGTGTTTTTGCTATATGTCTTCTGTCCGATAGTCAGGTTTGGAATCTCAGTTCCTTCATAGGACTGAAATTAAATTTGATCTAAAAGTAACTTTATTGACAAAAGGCACCGATATATTAGTATTTTATTGATTTTTGATAAAAACAACACCTGACCCTTGGGATCATTGTCATTTCCACCACAAATTCTAAATTATAGCTTGCAATCACATCAGTTGTCATGTGACAGGAGACCTCATGCCACAATAGCAGAGTTAGCTCCTTTGAAAGAAAGGAAACAAGAACAAAAATTTCAAAAAAGATCAAAGATCAAGTTTTGAAAAACCAAGAGTAGGTGAATGGTTCATCATTTGCAAACACCTCATATTTCCTTCAAATGTATAAATAATGAGAAAAATGCCATTTTATATTGTGTATTTTGAGTACATGTTATGCTAAGTATTTATCTGATTATTTATTGGTTTATTTCTTTTCTTATTAAAATTCCCTTTGGATTTAATAAAGTATGTTTGAATTAAATTGTAAAAAAAAATGCTACACATTTCCTTATTTATTTCCAACATTACATATATTATTCACACATATATATATATTTATGTAATTACAACTCCAATAAGTTGATATTTCTACACCACGTGAAGTAGAACCACCAAACTTTTTCCAAGAATTTGTGTTGGGTTTTCTGAAAAATATCATGACCAAATTTGTCAATAGCTGAAGCGTCACACAATAAGATAAATTAGAAGACATCCAAAAGAATTCAATAACCAGATTTTAATTCCTGCACTAAAGGTTATAGGTTCACTCTAACATATTATGAAAATGTTTTTTTGAGTTAAATTTTTTCTTTCCTGCTGCGAAAAGTTTATGCTGCTATAAAGTTGGTAATTTTCTTGAATCAGCTGATTAAAAAAAACTAAATCAAACTAAAGTCTAAATAGATTAAAACGAGTAAATTAATAAAAAGTTTAAATTTAGACTCATTACAAATGAGTCTTATTCCAATAAGCACCATCAGACAATGCACAGCTAGCTTACCTTTCTGTACCATATAGTGCAAAATCTGCTCGAGTAATGAAGCTACATTGTTAGCATCTGGAATAACGTGAAGATATGTTCTCTCTGAAGAAAAGATGTCCAACATCCGCATAGGAACAGCAACATTTAAACTGTCATCTGAGCAGTTTAACAGAAGTCTGACAAAGAAAAAAAAAAACAGCAATAGAGTCAGTCCAGCTTCAGCTTCTTCATAACAACCATCATCCTGTATTTATGTCACAATAATCAGTTTCCATAACCTTACCTACAGCAAAAACCCAGAATCCTTTTGATTTGAAATACACATGTTTGTTTCTGGGGGCTATTTAACAGCTTCACGAACGGATTGTGGTGTTTCACAAGGTTCTGGCATAACCAAATCTTTATAAACACACAGACAGGCAGATGTCAAATGTAACATAGTCAGTGAAGCAATGGTAAAAAAAACGCACTGATAACACTGCATCCTTACCAATCTATGTGCATCCACACTCTGTCTGTAGAAAAATATTAGTTGTCTGGACAGGAGGCACAGAGAAGGACCATCCATGATGTGCTGCGTTCCACCTGCCTGTGACTGGCTGACAGACTCATCAAACTTAGCTCTTTGAAGGGCATACTAAAGAAGCAAAGAGAAAGGATATAGAACATACAAAAACAAATAGGTCACAATAAAATTAATTTCTATTAAATGCTGTAGGCAAAACCTGATTCTAAATGTTTTTATATGAAACAAAAAATTTAAGGAAATAATTCAAAGCTGCTTTTCTGTGTTTTTTAGGACATCTTTTATATTAATTCCATGTGTAGACAGTTGAGCTCTCTATTTATTCTAAACAGGAAAATTAGAAGTCTACCAATTAATTATACCTTACATGACAGGACTTATTTTGCATCACTGTTCAACAATTTGCCTCGGTAGTTCGGATTGTGCAGGAGAATTTAAGAAAACGTGTCCGCTTGTTGTTCTGATAATGAAGATTCATCATTTCCAATTGTAATTTCTGACAGGTTGGTGTTTGTTATTTTCTGTTCCTCTCTGTCACAGATTGTTCCAATCCGTTGCAATATAGGTTTGCTTTTTCCCATTTTTTGCTTTCATTATCACCCATCTTTCTAGAACATATTTATTGTAAATCCAGAAGCATATTATGCAACTGCATTAGCTGTCTGTAGTTAAATACGACAGGTCCTTTTCAATAAAGCAACACAGCAGCTCTGAACTCCTCTAAGGTGAGGGGAGCTTCAAGCAGAGTTTGGCAGAGGTTTCAGAAATGTTGAACATTAATTTACATTTTTGAACACCCTGCTATTTTGTAATTTCTCCCACTTCATTGAGGGGTCTGAATGCGTGCATGTCCACTGTGAGAGACATAATCTAAAAAATAAAACCCAGAAATCACAATTTATTATTTTTTTTAACTATTCAATTGTATGATCCAGCTTCGAGAATCAATGTTAATATTTGGTACAGTAACAGATTCCCTCTGCTCTAGTTTTTACTTGTTTTTTTTTCTGCTTGTTAATAAAAAAAATGTTGTTTCATTTTGCACTTTACATCTCTTGTAAAGCAAAAACTAATTCCATCCGTATTTTTTTAACCAGGGCACAACGGACACTGACAACACAAGTAACACTCCCAAGCGCAAACCAAACTTTTATCATGGCTAAGATTGGCCGTGTTAAACTAAATAAATCAATTCACACATCCCATAATTTCACAGGATGACAGTATCACACTCTCCTCTTTTATTTAAAGGCTACAGACCGAGCTCAGCTCTGCTACTCCGACTGTACGCTGCGCAATCAGCTGTTCCCAATGAGTATCATGCTACACAGTTTACACATCATTTGTCAGACGCTAAAATCTGAGACATGTGCTAGGATGGTTTTTGATGGGTACAGGGTTAATCATTTTGTTACTAAAAGCTTACCCTGTTGGAGCTTAGCCTACCGTGGAGCACAGCCTAAAGCTGTAGCCAAGGGCTCCATGTCTGTGGTGAATGTCATTGCTCACATAGCCAATGTGTTACATGCACTGTAATAATAGACTATAAGACATATCAAAATACCAAAAATTTCCATTTAAGCATCATATACTTTTATACCTTTACTGAATAAAGTTACATCGTGACATTTATATTGAATTATTGTCCGACCACAGGATCTACAAAAAATACGGGTCACAGTGAACTCTACCATGCTTAAACCTCTGATCGTGGAATTGCCCAACAAGAGTAATGCAGTAATCTAAAACAAAAGGAAGAAAAGAAGCAGCCGAAGCAGGGTGCAAGCATGTGCACAGAATATTCCTTTAAATCTCACCAAAAACTGTTCAAGAATCTTGTGCAGAAAGTATGCTGAAGACACTTCCTTGGATTACTTTGTATTTAAATAACTGAATGCAATTGGATTGACAGCGTGAACGACTACAACACAGACCTCAGCCAGAGTCAAACATATCAAACGCTTTATTAAGGCGTATGCTGCTCACAATTTCAATCTGAGCAGCATGATATGAACAAACACGTGAATAAGTAAAATGTGCTAGTAAAAGAAGAGAAGAAAAAAAAAACTGTTGATTATTAGAAGGACATACCTGCTGCTTTAAGTCTTGGTATCCACGTATGTAGGACTGAATGATGATGGCATTTTTCAGCCTTTTTCTCTCTTCCTGTAGCAACAAAGAAGTAAAGCTTAAAAACTAACATAACTGTGATCCAACCGATGAGACGTTACCATCAATAAGTTGCTTAAGAACATTAAAAAAAGAAAATAAAACATGAGGTTAGAAATTAGAAATCAAAAAATTTATAAAAACTGTTTGAGTAAAATCTAATATCAATGCTAAAAGTGAAATTAGATCGCAGAAAAAAGTATTACATGAAAGTGCCTATTGTGGCTTATACACAGCAAATATACAGAAAATATATCTTCACCAATAAATTGTTTTTGTTAAACTTAGCAGTGTGATCACTGACTCATAGAAATCTTTTCAGAAAAACTCAGTAAAACTCCTGATGCCACCAATTTGAGCCACAGATCAGAACTAGTTTGTTTTAAAGCGTTTAGTTCTTTCATATTATGTCAAAAGAACACTGGTGAGATTACCTCTCTTTTCCGTCTTTCTTCTTGTGTGCGATGCAACAGAGAGGCTTTTTCTTCCTAAATACCAACAGAGGTTATGTGAGGCTAAACACCAGAAACAGTTGCATGTTTTATTACTGCTCAATTTTCCTGCAATCAGCACTTAAACAACCTTTTCCATCTGTGATCTAGCAGCACATACCTTTTTACTCGCTCCTCCCAATGACACTTTGGGCCTTGTTTTGAAATCTCCCTCAAAGCTGAACATTTTCAGATTTTTCCCATTGATTGATTCAGACCTTCTGAAGAATTTCTGATAGAGAAAACGAAAACAATTGCAGTTAAAACACATCAAAACTATACCTGACGAACCTGGGCTTAGCTCCAACTTAAATCACCACCTTGTTATAAACTCATGTGGTCAATTAATAGTTTTATGTGCTAAAAAACTAGTTAACGGGTTGACTTGATTTTTTTTTCTGAAAATGACAATCTTTCGGCAGCAACAATAGTTAGCTAACTTAGCTAGCTTATGACTCAGCAGCTGTCACTGTTTTACTACAGCAAGCATGCCTTAAGACACGATGCAACAACGTAGATAATACCAACAAAGGACAAATAATGGTTGCAAGCGTCCCTACAGAATAATGTCCGTATGTTTAGTCTGGTTTTGATGGCGTTAGCACTGAGGCTAACTAGCCAACGGCTAAATATTCAAGCAGGCTAACTTTACGTGGGGATTCTATTTGACATCATTTTAATTTCAAAATACACATAAAAAATTTCAAAATCTATGATGAATAACCTCCGTACCTTTGACTTCTCAAAAATATCGGTTGAAACAAAAAGACTGAGACTGAGTAATCCAATTGTCAAGTATTCTTTTCCTCCACTCTGGAAATCATCACAACACAGAAGCGGTTAACTACTTCCGGTTCCTTCAAATCGCAGGCAGATGATTGGATAGAATTCATGCCAATCACGTGGTTGAGCCGTCCCTCTCTTCCAGATTGATTGAGAAGCTTCTATGAATGCATGTCTGCGTGAGAGCATGAATTGCAGGATCTAAAGATCCAAATAGTGGCAGAACAGGTGCAGCTGTAAATATCCCACACCATAAAGTCATGATTAAAAGGAGAACATCAGATCATCTAGCAGTTTTCACAGTTGAATTAATTGCCATTATGTTAGAGGTTAGGTTGCTTGATGATAATGTTAGGAAAGGATATAGTTATATTATTGCATCAGACAGTCAAGCTGCATTATTAAGTATCAAATCTGGCAAGTCTTGTTGATTAGATTTATTATTAGATATATATCACCTATTAGTTGAACTTCATAATAAGAAATGTTTTGTTCTATTTGTCTGGATTCCTGCTCATGTAGGCATGGAAGGGAATGAAGTAGATATATTAGCTAAACAGGCCTTAAAATCAAATATTATTTACTTAAGTATTCCTTTAAGCAAAAGTGAGTGTAAATCTATAATGCAAAATAAAATCTGTAAGGTTTGGCAGGAACGATGGCATAATCATGACACTGGTAGAGATCTTTATAAAATTCAAAAGACTGTGGGGCATAATAGTTATATTAATGGAAGGTGGAAAGAAGACTTAAACTTGCTCATGCTGGACTTAATAGTTCTTTTTTTTAAATAGGTAAACATGACACAGGGACTTGTAATTACTGTAATCAGATGGAAACAGTGGAACATGTATTATTAGAATGTAATAAGTATTCACAGTAACATCAGCACTTAAAATCAACACTAAAGAGAGAAAAGAAAAAAATTAGAGAAAAAACTGGATTTTCAATGATAAACCTTTTAGGAAGTAAATCTTATTCTGCTAGAAATTAGTTAATTATATTTTTAAAAAAACACTGGATTATTTAATCATATTTAAAATAAGAATATAAGTGTGGATGCATGTGCATATACGCACATACTAATTTATATGTGAGTTTGTATATTGATTGATAGATAATAGATCCACGCACACCATTGAGGTATGTATTAATAACTTCCCTCTGACATCACTGATAACCACACTTCAGTCTGGTAGGTGGCCGTAAATGCACCTTAAGTTGGTTGCCACCTGCCAATAAAAAACAAAGGAAGAAATAATTGCTTTTTTGCTTGGACAAATAGTCCTTATCTGAAAAAGGTCTTGCTATTCTTGAGAAACGTTTGAATGAATAAAATAAGGTTTAAGTTGAGTTTTTGTTCAAATTTGGAATACTTTTGTAGGTGATATATTCATGGCTTGTGTTTTACATTATTCAGTAAAGATAGTTATATAAAAGCAGACATATAAAATATTTATGCAATACCTGTAGTGTGATTCTAACATTTTATATATATAACAATTCTTGAGAATTTTCATAACCATATAAAATATTGATTTCAGCTGTATGTTCAAACAGGACGAGGACAGCAATCTAAAATTTCTGTTAATACCCATTTCAAAGGCTTACAGAATTGCCTATTTAAAGCCTGGTCCTATAGAATCTGTTATAAACTGAATGCCTACTTTTTGAAAGCCATATCTGTATCAGAAACCAACCAATAGTCATTAACTTACCAACCTTGCATAAAAGAATATTAAAATATCAGAATCATGCAACAAGTGTATAGGAAATTCAACAATCTGTTCATTTACACCAAATTGCTCTGTTGCTCTGTTCATTGTCTCATGACATCTACCTGTCCTTCCTGCTATACATATTTCTTATTTCATTAAGTCTCCCACTGGATTTGTATCTGTTTCCAAATACTTTGGATGGTTCTCAGTCCTGCAGCAAATAAAGTCAATTTCTTCTCTCACCCCTTTCTTTGGGGGAGGGGCTTCTGCTTTTGGTTCTCAACACAAAATCTTTTTCTTGCAGGGTGTCTGACATATTAGTCTTTCGATAGGTGTGTCAAGGTTGGAAAAGCAGAGATGTCTGGATTTGTCGAACATTGCAGTCAAGTGGTTAAACTCTGGTGGTCTAAGTGGTCAACATGCCACTTTTGCTCAACTGCAGCAAGGCAGAAGAGATCACACTTCCTACAATATACCTATTAAAGATATACACTGAAATGCCTAAGCTTCCTTTAAATAGTACAGTCTATTATGTCCATTCTTGTAGACAACTTCACAGTTGCCTCCAGTTGAGTCAGTTGTCCAATGGAAAACTGCAGTATTTGTACTCCTCCACCACTTAAACATCTTCTCCCTTGATGGTAATAGCATTTGATCTGTTCAAATAATTTCCTCTGAAATCTACAATCATCTCTCTGGTTTTGTATATACATTCAGGATAAGATGATTGTTTCCACAGCATGCCACAAAGGTATCCCCCAGCTTCCTGTAATCGGCTTTTTGTCAATCTCTGATAAACCGAACTGCATAGCCGTGTGAGTATTTCTGCAAATGAAAGGACTCTGTTGTCTACTTATAGTCAGAGATTAACATAGTAAAATTTAATAGTCAGAGTCTCCTGGGGTGCTCCTGTACAGCTGACTACATGGTTAGTCTGTTTGTCAGGTAGTAGTGTTGCACCGATGCAATGTTTTGGCTCCAATACCTGGCTTTGCAGTATCCGCCGATACCAATATACCGATACCATCTGTTTGAAATTGATGTGTGTGTGTGTATATATAAAGACCTGCACGCTACTTGGATGTAAAATAATTGCCATCATGGCTTTGTAAAGCTGCTGTCTACCTTTGTGAAGCAAAGACTAACACAAAGTGAATCCAGTAGAACTTTTTTATTGCCTACCTGGAATGGATGACAATAGTTGAATAAACCATTGGCTCTCAAAATGATATCAGTGCCCTAGCTGGTACTCGCCAATACCGATACCACCATCTTAGTGCTGGATTGGGGCCCCTTCCGATGCTGGTATCGGTATCGATAAGGTGATTGCTGATTCCTCAACCTGAGTGTTCTGGAGTTTCTGATCAAATAAATCAGGCTGAATCATGTTAAATGCACTGAGGAGATAAAAAAAAAAAAAGTGCTGTCTGCCTTGTCTAACTGAGAGGCGGTTTATTGAAGCAGGGGTGTGATGATATCTTTATGTGCAGCTCAAAGGCGGTAAACAAACTGCAGGGGATCCTGATAGCTCCTTGTTTGCTTTCTCGGGAGGACCAAGAGGTGTATCTCTAGGACAGACATGTCAAAAGTCAGTTCTTGAGGGGTGCTATCTTACAGGATTTTACTGTTTCTCATTTTCATCAAAGCTGTTTCAGTTGATTGCATTGCAGCAAAAACGTGTTCATTGGAATTCAATGAAAATCAGCTGTGTTGAAGCAGGGAAGCATCTAAAACCTGCAGAAAAGTGGCCCTTGAGGGCTAGGATCTTTCTGATGTGGGATGTCTTTAATCATTAAGGCATGTTAGCTGTGTTCTTTCACATCACTGGAACTATCTCCCAGGTCAGGCTAACATTGAAGAGGAATTGTAGAATCCCACAAAAATGACCTATAAAGGCCTTTGGGACTCTTAGGACAAAGCCATCTTGATCTGGTGTCCTCATCTGATTCTGTCTCTCTACACTTGACTTCTAGAGACAGACAGCAGGGTCAAAGAGAGCAGTGCCATTATCTAATGTGATTGGCAGAGATGGGAAGTAACGAAGTACAAATACTTCGTTACTGTACTCAAGTAGATTTTTCAGATATTTTTACTTTACTTTACTACTTATTTTTATGGCGACTTTTTACTTCTACTCCTTACATTTTTACACAAATATCTGTACTTTCTACTCCTTACATTTTTAAAAATTGGCTCGTTACTTTAGTTTTGAATAATTTCAATGGAGTTACCGTTATTATTTTTCACGTCATTAATACCAAATTCGATCTAATTGGATGGGAATCTACGTTGCATTTGACGCACCACTACAAGATGAATCGACAGATTCGGCGGTATTCATTCGTGGCAAATCATTGCAGCTTGGTGATGGTGGCGTTAGCATAGTAGTATGGACGACGAGATGATTGAAAATGAACACAACGGAGATCTAGTCCTATTGGCAGACATCCATTAAAAATGTAGGCAACAGCATGAAAAAAGTGGTTTCTACTTTTACTTTTATACTTTAAGTAAATTTAAAGGTTTTGGGCTCTGTCTAGACTTGTATATCATAAATGATAAACCAATTACTAATATGGTAATTTTTTATTTATTTAACAGTTTAAAGTGTAAGTAACATAATTGCTTTTAATAAGAAACCCAGAAAGGACTATTGTTGCCAAGGCAACAAGTTGTCAGCAGCTTGGTTGGCCTTTTTGCTCATTTGTCTTTTTTCTCACCATAGGTCAGAAGTAACATGGTGCAGTAGGTTTAGAAAGCAAAGTTCTCAGGTCACTCCCATTGTGCTGCTGCTTGGAAATAGATTTATTTGCCCTCAAGCCTTTATTGTAATCTTGGGCAAGGCTATTGAAGATGAGATAGCTCTTGATGTGCTTCAAATGGTTTTTATTTTCCACTTGCGCTTGTTATATATTTCATGAAGAAAATAATAAATAATTGGAATGGCAATATAAATAAGTAATAGTTATAATATATACAAAATAACTGTCATAATCATAATGTCTATTGATATAATAATTATATAATAGTCATGAAATATATCATAATATATAAAAAAAGTTTATAATATATTAACAATGCAACTTGCTGGGTTTAAACAACCCAACAGTGAAGCCAATTTAAGCCCTTGATTGAGTTTCATAAATTAATCCAATGGGGATTTACGAACAACCTAATTATTGTATTGAGTGAACCAACCAATATTGTTGGGTTAAACTAACTGTTCTGTTCTATTTAACCTGCGCTGTGGTGGGAAACTACCCAAATTGGGTTGTTTTTACCCCAACATTTTTTAGAATATGGGATCTACTTCATTCCTCATCACTCTTATAATGTTCTGCTGGAACTTGCTCTTCAGCTTC